CATGGGGATGTATGGACATCATTTCTTGGGGGCCTTAACTTCACTATTATTTGGCAAACCACCAATACTTGGCCCAGCTATCGGCTGATGAAAAAAACAGAGTAGAAACGTTTCTCGTCGGATGAATTTGGGCGCTCCTGTAGTAGCCCGTACGTTTCGTAAAATCGTGGCTTGTTAACGGGCACAACTTTAGGAAGTACTGGTGGTTTCATACTATTTATTTTGACCTCTTATGGTACACTCAGTTGCACTATTGATCACCGCCGTCGTGAGGATGCACGGAGGAGAGGAATGCACGGAAGGCGTGATTACACCCCTCTTGAACAGTATGTCCGTCTTTGCTACTATCCATTGTGATCGGTCCCCTTCTGCTCTATCTGACCCCCTTTCCCCTTAATTTATGCGACCCCCTTTCCCTTTAATTCATGGTTAGGATGCTTAGTGAGTTTCTTCGCTGCAATCGTTTTGCGTGGGATGATGCGCCCTTTAGGTTGCCATGCTCTCTAAGCTCACAACAAGAACAGAAGCTGTGTTAGCTTGGCCCACTTTCTGACAACAGCACATCACCATCAGCATCATGATGATAACGTCAAAACTCGCTGATGGGAATGAGAGACATCAGAGTAATTTCAAAAGTCATGTGCATGGGAGAAGAAGGAAGACGGTTGTTATCGCGGTATCAGCTCGGTTACGGTACCTTTGTCTACAGTCACTTGGATGTCATCGCCATCATCGTCTAGTTCATCACTCCTTTTAAAGTTCCAATCGTCGATGGTGAATCCTCTGCCAGTGGACCCCCTCCCTGAAAAAAAGCTGTCATTCGTCGTCTGAGTATCCTCCTGTGCTGACCACGCGTCAAAGTCCACAGGCACTTGGTTCTCGAGCAAGTGCACGACCATCTTCATCCTCGGCCTCCTGTGCACATCTCGATCAACGCACTTCCTTGCAACAAGTGCAACCCTGTATGCCTGCTCCTTGTCGTGGTCGTTACGTAGACACGGGGCAATCATGTCCTCCACGAAGTCGTGATTGTTAACGTTGAAGTTTCTTGCCTGACATGCCAAGTTCGACATCATCAACAAGAGTGTTAGAAACTCTTCCTTTTTTATTTATTATTTATTTATTTATTTTTAACGCCGAGTATCAGAAAGGAGTGATGATAAGAGCATTCACTTAAGTGTCACCCGTCCCGTGTAATGATTTGCTTTGGGGAAGAGCTGAAGATGCCGAGTATGCGACTTAAAAAAA